CTCCTCGCGGGACATGCCGTTGGGCAGTGTGGTCACCTTGCCATCCTTGGGGGGCTCCTCCTTGCTCCCCTGAAAGCTCTTCAGGGCGGCCGTGAAGAAGGTGGCCATGGGTGGGCGGCTGCAGCACCCTGTGCCCCACAGTGTCCAGTGCTGCCAGGTCCCTGCCTGGGGCTGGTGCCTGCAAGGTCAGTGGGACCAGCTGCCCCAGGGGCACCGCGGATCAGGGGTGGATTAAGGCATTAGGAGGGGAAGCCACAGCCACTGGGGTGGAAGGACCTTCTTGCTCCGCTCACTGCACCCAAGGGTGCTTGGTGGGGGGACAGGGAGTGTTGTCCTATTAGGGTGATGGGGAGGTGGAAGTAGCCACCGAGTCCCAGTGCGCCCCGATGGGGCCGAAAGACCCTCCCATTGTACAGGCTCTGACAGAGGGCAGCACCCACAGGGCCAGATCCTGGGAGCCCTCCATGGTGGGCACTCAGAGCCACCCCCACAGCGGGGCTGGAGGTGCAAGAAGTTGGCACAGAGGAGACGCAAGAGGATTAGCCAAAAAAACCCAATCGAGGGTCAAAGGACTGGAAGGAAGAGGAGGCGGCAGGCGGGCGCACACACACAGACACACGCGCGCGTGCGGCCCCGTGCCCCCGTTAATCCCGGCTCCACGGAGACGTCGAGATTGCTTGGGAGCCGGCAGGGCTGGGGGCTTCCCGCTGCCGGAGGACGTGCCCTGCTCCCGTAATCTATATGCAAGTGATTCCCATACAGACTCTGATTAAAAGAATAATCCCCGGCTGCACAGCCCTGGGGGGAGAGGGGACGGGCTGCAGGTGGGGGGCTCCAAGGGCTGGTGGTCCTGAGCCCCCCCCAGGCTTTTCCCTGTGCTTTGCCAGGCCCCAAGCGAGGGATAGGCCTAATTTGAGCCCAGAGGCTTAACGATGCTGTTGAACTAATTTCTTTGGTTTAATCAAAAAGCCCAAATCCGTGTGGTTTAGCCGGCTGCGCCCAGCGTCGCCGCGCAGGGCCGGGTGGCTGGAGCGGGGCTGTGCTGGGAACGGGGTTTCATCCTCCAGCGAGCAGAGATGTCCCATCCTGTCCCTGGGAGGGGCAGCTCAAAGGGACCCCACATGCGGCACCCACCGTCCAGGGTGTCTGAGGCACGGCCCCCACCTTGGGGGCTGCGCTCCCCACCCCGGCGGTCGGGGGAGATCGACCCCATGGCAACTTTCACTGGGCTGTGCGGTGGGAAAAAGAGACCTGTGCCCGGATGCCTTCGGGCGCTGCGGGGGAGGAGAGACCACCTCCCAGATGCTGCCCCATCTCCATGGGGAGAGAGTGGCACCGTAGGCCACCTCGCTGCCCAGCCACCCCTTGCCACACCACTCCCAACCCCGGTGGGTCTGAGGGGCTTCTGGTCACAGGTCCTGGGAGCAGGATGGGGGTTAAACGTTCCTCAGGTGCTTCAGCTCCTTCTGCAGCTTCTCTGTGAGTTTCTTGAAGGACGGCCGCTTGCCTGGCTCCAGCTCCCAGCAGCTCTTCATCAGGGTGTAGATGGCAGGCGGGCAGCCCTCGGGGGGCTCCATGCGGTACCCCTGCTCCAGCAGCTCCGTCACCTCCTTCAGGCTCTGGCAGGATGGAGAAACCAGCTGGGACCCCCCTTCCCCGCCCTGGCAGGGGCTCGCCCCAGCCAGGGGACAGCAGGATGTTCCTGGTCCATCAGTGCCAGCAGGGTGTAACCCATGGTGTCCCCCAGCATGGCACTCACCAGCTTGGGGTAAGGCGCTCGGCCGAAGGAGAAGGTTTCCCACAGGAGGATCCCGTAGCTCCACACGTCCGACTTGGAGGAGAATTTCTGTGGTGGCAGGAGGAGGGGAGGCTGAAGCCAGCCAGGGGCTGTGCTGGGCACCCATCCCTCCCTGAGGGTGACAGGAGACAGTGCCAGCCCCCAACCCCCTGACGCTCACAGCTCCCAGGGTGCGACTCCCTCTTCCCTTCCCACCACCCAGATGGCCCTGGGTCCATCCTGCCGCATCCCACCGGAGCTGC